ATGGGGCGGGAGCCAAACGTGAGGGGGGGGGTGGTCGTGGTGTGCCCGGCGGGCGGGGTGTGTTACGTACTCCCGTTGTGCACGCCTTTGTTGTTAGGGCATTGGCCGCGCGTCCTCGAGAGGACGGAAGATTCTCCCACAGGACCCATCACCGACGGCCAACCTTTCCTTGGGGTAGAGCGGGGGGGGGGGCGGGGTGATGTCCGTGTTGCGCTTCTTGTGGCCTCCTGCCATGTGGTGGCGTTGTTTGAGAGTGTAGCTTGTTGGGACTGATTTAGGTAGGTGATGTTCGTGGTATGATGTGGTCTTGATGCTGTTGCGGTGAAGGACGTGTCGGCTCGGCAATGTTGAAGCTTGTCACAGTTGAGAGAATACAAAACGAGCCTCGGGGTAGCACAGTAGCTTATTTTCTCTGTGCGGTCGCGGTCTGTAGCTGTCCTTTCTTCCAACTCTTACTAACAATCGCACTCCTTGCTTTGCCGCACACGCCCCCTACCCTCTCCGCACTCCCTGCTGTGCCCTCACACAAACCAGGCCGCGGCCCCTCCGATGCCTATGCCGCTCCCGGTGTGGCAGGAGACGAAGGAGATCGCCAAGAAGGTACGTATTGTATCTTAAACGGCTCTGCGAATTTTTGGAACGCAGATGCCGTGAGGAAGGCTCGTCTGAACATCATATATCTTGTTTCTAGTTTTTTTTTTTCCTCCCCGCGTGCTAACACTGCCTCTATCCCCCTGTCACGCGTTGCCGTTGTCGCGTAGGTGAAGGAAGATGAGGCGGACGCCGTGAAGAAGCGCATCCGGCAGTGGGAAAGCGCGAACCGAGTTCTGGGCCACCAAGCGCGCTCGGACGTCCACAGACCTAGGGCTCTACTCGCCCTGTCAGGTGCGTGCGCCGCATGGCTCATGGTATGACTGCAAACTCGGCCCATTCCATTTGATATTTGCGCTCTTGCTGTGGTGGAATTTTTGGCGCGTTGTGGCCGGCATGCCCGTCCAGATTTTCCCGCGAAACAAAACTCTTTCATTTATTTTTTGGCCTTCGAAGGCGGATTTTTCTGTCATTTTTTATTTTTTGTTTTGTTTGCAGTTATTGTGTGCCCAGGCGACCGACCACTCTTTTTTTCGCAGAATGGCTTCCCCCGACCTATTGCTGAGTGGACTTGCAACGGCTGAATGCAGCCCGCGTGCGCCCGCGTTTGTTCCCGTTCTTCCTGAAGCTTGTTTTCGTACTGGGTTGTCGATGTTTTTTTTTGTCGGGGTCCCTCTACAGGGCGAGTGGTCGGTGTGGGGCGGGTAGTATTTCTCGGCACAGACAGATTAGAACATGATCTTTTTGGGGGGTTTTTCATGTTGAAAACAAGGAGGAAGTGAACCGGTCTGGCGCACAACTGCCCTGTAGAAGGAGTCCGACTACCACTGCTGTACCTTATTCGCGTCCCATGTTGTTGTTTGCCGCCCGTGTGTGCACGGGGCTGAAGGGGGAGAAGCCGGAGGGGAGGCAACCCCGGCGGAAGGGGGCGAGGTGTTGGTCTCGGAAGGGGCGCCTTTCGAGACGCACCTGTGGCGGGCTCGGCTGGCGATCCAGCGGGCCACCAACGCCATGCTGGCGGCGTTTGAGGTGTGTGCGAAGTGTGTTGCTGCTGGTGTCAGCTGTATCGTTCGGAGTGTTTGCGAGAAAATGTTAGGCTGTCGGTGTCACTTTCAACGCTGCTGTTGTCGGTGTTTTTGCTGCTCGTGCTCGGCGATCGTTCGACGTGCGTGGTGTCCGCGACATGTGTAGCTGTTGGTGTGTGCACTTGTTGTACGTCAGTTGTGTCGTTCGAACTGTGTTTTCCGCCAGGCCTGTCGGGAACGCTGTTGTTGTTTAGACGACCATCCGTTGCTGTCGTTCAAGGCGTGTGTGCGAGGTGTAGCTATCATCGATCATGATTGTAGTGTCGGTATCCTTGAATCGCTGTCACAGAGGGTCTACCCTCTCTTCACTTGGTCACTACTTCTCGTTTTCCACCCACCCGCCCACCCATTCCAAAACGTGTGCCCCTCTCCTCTACCCAACATCAGCTGAACTACCTCCTGCACCTTGCTACCACGCCTCCGGAAAAGAGAGCCGAGGTCGCCGGGCGCCTGGGAGACGTGATCGTTGACCTCGCCGTATCGCTTGGCCTCCAGCGGTCCACCATCCTGCAGCAGGTAGATACGTGCCTTTGGTTCATTCAGAGGTCCCGACCCGACCCGACCCGACCCCCCTGTGCGGCGGACGGACTCCCGTCTTCAAGCGAGAAAACGCATCCCGCACGAGCCTGTTTCGAAGTCGTGTCGCTGTATGCCAAGGAAGCGCGTGTGCTGTTTTGCGGTTAAATTTGTTCGTGGAACGGGCCCTGTGCGAGTGTCAAACCAGCCCTGTGCCTGCTGCTGAGTGAGGCGTTTGCGAAATCTCCAGAATTCGCCGGCGCGTGTGCGTTCGTGTGTGTATGTGGCACACCCGCGGCTGATTATATCGTCGAAGGGGTCCCGCTGTTTGCATGAGGCGCCCTCGAGCACCCCCCCCCCCCCGCGCGCGCGCACCCCACCCCCTACTTGCTGCCCCAGGACGGCTGGACAACCACGCCCTCGACGCCCCGCGGCTCTTCCATGACGATAAATCGCCCCCCCTCGTGACTCTCCGCGTGTACTCTTTCCTGATTTCCCCATTCACCTGTCGGGAAATAATTATGAACCACCATGTGGCTACGGCATGCGTTTACATGAGGACATCCTTATTTGGGTTTTCCACCTCTGTTTTTCCTTAACCTTGCAGGCAGAAGGCAAACCCGCGCCGGACGCGTCGACGCTGGAAGCCTCCCTCGACCTCCGGGTGCTCTCCACCGTGCTGGAGCTGACCAAGGGCCAGAAGCTCCTGTCGCGGTGCCTGGCCATGCTCCCCCCGAGCCAGCGGTCGGCCCTGGTGCCCAGCGTGCTGGCGTTGACGCTGGCTCGTGCTCCAGCGGCTAGCCTTCGGAATGCTCCGAGCGAACAGGTCAGTTCGATTTGTTTTTCTCGTTGGGGAGGCGGGCGGGGTGGGGGGGGGGGAGTGCTGCAGCTGTGTTAGTGTGTGTGTGTCATTGTGTTGTCAATGGTGCCTAGGGTCGGAGGGGGGTTGGTTTTGGAAGAACACACGACGTCGAGTTGCTTTTTGTTCCGGCGTACATTGAGGTGCATACGGTACGAGGCCATTCCAAACGTGTTCATGTCTGCCCGAGCTCGAAGAAAAATCGACTGCTGGTTCTGCGCCCGCCTGTAGACATGATAATTTGCGTGGAAAAACTAGCGAGCACCAAAACATGAAGTATTTTTTTGCTGTCCTCCCTGAATCGACGCGCGCACTTACCCTCAAGCAACAATGAGCAAGGGATTGCTTGTACCGTATTGCTCGAGACGAGAAGAAGAGTGCCCGTACGTTGGCGTCGATAATCTGCCGAAACTCTCAACAATCGGCACCCCCTCTATTGAGAAAGAGGCATGACCGATGGTCCACATAGACTAAACGCGAGCCACAAATACCGCTGTGAACAATGCTCCGTCCTCTCGAGGACGCGGTGGTCAATGTTCTAACCGCTACGGTATGCAAAACATGCGTACGCCCCCCGTCCCCTTCTTCCCTCCCTGCCCCCGCCGGAAGGTGAAAGCCGACGCGATCAGAGCGGAAGAGGCCCTGGCGTCGGAGCTGAAGAACATCCTGCAGTCCCCGGCGTCCCTCCCGCTGCCCATCCTGCGGCGGTGCATCGAGCTCGTCATGACGGCGCACCGCGGCCGGGGCACCCTCGCGGGAGCCCTCGGCAGCGTGTCCCGGGCCGAGGTGCTCGGCGCCGTGCTCCAGAAAGGGGGCGAGCTCAGCGAGGCGGAGGGGGGCGAGGCGGCGGCGGACTGGGCGGCGCTGCAGACGGAGTTCATCGCGATGGCGAAGGAAGGGGCGGACGCTGCTGCTGCTGCTGCTGCGACGGCGGCACCGGCGCAGAAAAAGGAGTGACTCTTGGTCGGATACCGGAGGAACATGGATGGGAATTTGATTTTGTCGTGATCTATGGGCGAGGTTGAGAAAATGTTGGATGGGGGGGGGGGGGGGGGGGGGGGGGAACCGCGGGCCCCCGGGGGGGGCGAAAACCGCCTGGGTGTCCCAAGTTGAAAAAGGGCGTTACTTTCTCGCCCCCCCCCTTTAACCCCCCCGGGGGGGGGGGTGGCCCCCGGAGAAGATTTCCGGGTTTGGTGCGAG